TCCCTCCGGGTCAGTGACGGCCCGTCACACACAGCATCACGGCTGTCTTGTGGCATCTTATCAGGGCCGTCTTTACCCATAGGGAGAATACCCAGTTGTGTAGGGCACCCCAAAATGTGAGGCACCACTGGGTCTAAATGTCCACCCATCCGCCTCTTCCTATCCTGTTCTGTGGCACTGCTTTCTCCAGAGAGGATCAGGGTGTCTTAAAAGTGAAAAAGCCGGCCAGAGCTATTAACAGACATTGAACCTGTAAAAAAAGCCATTCAGGTAGTAATGAAGCCATTTTACAGGCATCTGCCAGCCCCAGATATATACTGTCAGTGTCCGGATTTACTGTCAGTCTACAGGACTTTAGTTTAAAATTTGAAATAACATTTCATTAGTGTGCTGCTGAAGACTGTAAAATCACATCTCTAAAAAATCATCTCCCTCATTCCCAGGCTGCCATCGGGCACAGGGCACCAGTTTAATAGTACTTCATAGGGCCCCATAAATCCTAAAGACAGCCTTGCACCTTATTACAGAAGGTCACTTCTTGGTTGGTTACGTCTCTTAAGTCTTTAGGCCTTAGGGCTCAGTTAGTTTAATTAACCTGTTGTCCTACAAACTGACGGCCTATATATTTCTGAGTTCCTGCACTATTCCGTAATGGTACGTCACCTGACCCGTGTCTGTACGGCTGTAGCAACTAGCTTGCTGCTTCAGAAACATCGTCCTATGGCTACTTTCACTCTTCTTTCGATTTTCTCTTTGCCTTCCAAGGGAGTGTGTTCTGGGGCAGATCCCACTGAGGGAATCCTTGGTAGGGTGGGTCCAGTGAAGCTGTCCTCAAGGACCAGGGATCCCAAAGCTGGCACAGGGCTCCCCCAGGATCTGGGATCAGCCATTCCATGCTACAACCACTGGCCATTCCATGCCACAGCGGAACAATAATGTGCCCCCCATTAAAATGCCACAAGAGGGTCCCTGCCCTCTCCCCAGCTGGCATGTCCCTAGCAGTGGAACTCCAGAGTCATGGGGGCTGCATTCATCTAGGGAGCTGAGAGCAGGACTTGACTTAGTGGAAGCTCTGACTGTGGAGTGACCACAGGATTTGGCCCCACTTCACTTCCAGAGCCAGAGGCAAGTGACACAAACCACTCTTCTGTGGGGAGCAGCCTGTGTAGGGACAGCTGCAGCTGCAGAAATGGGCCACACTCTCCGAATGCTTCCGCTGTGCTGTTTACACGTTGCTCGATTTTTTCATTCTTTGCCGCTGTTTCAAAGTCATAGAACCATAGCGCTGGAAGAGACCTCAGAAGGCCATCAAGTCCAGCCCCCTGCTCTAGGCAGGACCAATCCCAACTAAATCAACCCGGCCAGGGCTTTGTCAAGCCGAGACTTAAACACCTCTAGGGATGGAGACTCCACTACTTCCCTAAGTAACCCATTCCAGTGCTTCACCACTCTCCTAGTTAAATAGTTTTTCCTCATATCCAACCTAGACCTCTCCCACCGCAGTGTGAGACCATTGTTCCTTGTTCTGCCATTCGTCACTACTGAGAACAGCCTTTCTCCAGCCTCTTTGGAACCTCCCTTCAAGAAGTTGAAGGCTGCTATCAAATCCCCCCTCACTCTTCGCTTCTGCAGACTAAACAGACCCAACTCCCTCAGCCTCTCCTCATAGGTCATATGCTCCCTTCCCCACCCAGTGCACGGGCGTGACTGCATCTAACCTTGTGCAGTTGGACTGATGGGTTAGTAGGTAAAAGAACCATTGCCTTTCAGAACGTGCTCCGCTTCATCCCTGTGAGTAACACATGAAGCTCAGCTACTAAATGCTCTCCAGGGTATTGAAAACATTGTTAACTTAGCCTCTGGGCAGGATGGAAAGTTGTTCCTAATGGTGCTTATTTATGAGCTAGTAAACAAACCCAGGGTAGCGGGAAGTCAGTGGGGCTATTATTAGACCTCACTTATTCCTTGCTGTGGTGCTATCACCATGTCCCTATGTGCCAGTGATTCCTTCTAATTTCTTTCAATCCATGAGCAGAATAAATTTTGTTATGCGCACCAAGGCATGTGCAGATGTGCACCACCAATAGAAACACATGCTGCCGCTTGTGGACGCTGTGGACGCTCTGCTAATCAGCTGGGTGGCATTTGAATCTCTCCTGGGTAGCTGTCCAGGCACTCAGCTTACAGAGAACACGGCTGTGTGCCGATCCCCAGGCAGGCTGGTCAATCCCTGGCATTCCCAATAAAATGACTCCAACCGCATTCCTGGTCTCTGTCGCTTTGTGCACTGAGCTGAGCGCGTTATCTTTCCAGGAGCCCGTGGTTTCAGATCACGTAATGAGCACGTGTGTGTCCTGTAGGGTGCCCAGTGGTGACCCCAGGAAGTCGTGCCCTCCAGAGATGAGTTTGTGTGGCTGCCATAGCGAGTTGATGTGACAATGCAGCATGGTGCTGTGTCGTCCTGCATATCGATGCTGTAGGATAACAACAGCCACCTCGTGTTCATACAGCACCTTTTCTGTCATGCTTCCGATGTAGTTTCCAAAGCCATAGGCACCCACTTGTGAGTGCTCTGGGGGTGGGGAAAAATGGACCAGTGGCCTCCCTATCAGCACCTCCCCCTTCCCCCAGCAGCTCCCACCTGCCAGCAGCCCCATCTATCTACACCTCCTGCCCAACGCCTACCACCCACGGCTGGTCAGCTGTTCTGCAGTGTGCACGAGGAAAGGTGGGGGGAGGAGCAAAGGTGGGACCTAGGGAGGGGACAGAACAGGCAGGGAAGAGGCAGGATGGGGGTGGGGCCTTGGTGGAGTGGAGGTGAGGCCAGGGGCCAAGCCCACCTTTCCCTCCCCCTAGCACATTAGGAAATCAGTGCCTATGAGTCCCACAGCGACAGACCCCTGGAAATCCAGCCTCTCTCTCATGCTCCTAGAACTGTGGCTGTTGCACCCCTTGGCCACTGCTCCGTGTTGTGGGTGGTTCTCACTTGTCCCGCCCTAGCAGGGACCCTGGGAGGTTTTACCTCTCACAGGGTGCCACAGCAGCTGTAAGGGGCAGTGTACCCACCGCTAGACCCTTCCGTACCATCACACCTCTGGTCAGAGCCACGTCTTCTGCCCCCTGAGGTGGGGCTGGCAGGATGCAGCCCCAGGACTTGGGACCCCAGCCTTGCAGAGAGGTTCCCTGCAGCTTGGCCCCTCTGATGATCACCCTGAGAGAGCAGGTGGCCATTGGAGCCTCTTCCCTGTGTGTCCTGCTGCCCAGTGTAGTAACATGGTGGCCTTGCTGCCGGAGGCCTCATTTAAATACAAACAACTGAGCTCTGGCTTGCATGGGAGCGGTTGTCAGGGAGGTTGTCAGGGAGGCTGACATCAGCGATCCCTTCCCTATAGATTATTGTACAGTGGCAGGATCTGTTCCTCATCTGCAAATGAGACAAGAGGGCACCCAGAGGAAACCCTGAGGGCACTTTGCGTCATTGACCCAGGTTGCCTAGCACCACTGGGACTGGGGAGGGAGGGCGGGTTGGCTTCGAGTTTGCATTTTCCCAGGGTGGCCTGCTGGAGAGCCAAACAGTGCTGAGAACGGAGCCGGGGAGGAGAGAGGCAGAGGCGATGGCTGCCGACGCGTCGGAGCTCAAGCTCCCCTTGGTCCAGGATGTCCAGCTCACCAATTGCATGCGGCTGCGGGTGCAGAGCCTCCAGCAGAAGAACGAGCGGCCGCAGGACGGCGAGAAGCTGCTGCGGCCCAATGAGTACATCTACCGGGTGGACTTCGTCCGGCAGCACAACCTGCGCTTCCTGCGCTGGGACATCCAGCTGGAGAAAGAGGGGAAGGTGACAGTGACGGGCACCTCCCAGCACTGGACACCCCCCCTCACCAACCTCATGAGCAGGCAGCTGCTGGAGCCAGCGGGCATCTTCTGGAAGAAGCCAGAGGCCAGCGAAGTGGAATGCAATGAGGCGGATGCCCTGGAATTCGGGGAGAGGCTGAACGAGCTGGCCAAGATCCGCAAGGTGATGTACTTCCTCCTGTCCTTCACTGATGGCCTCGAACCAGCCCACATCGAGTGCTCTATCGTATTCAAAGCCTGACCCATCCTGGCTTGGGCAGATCCCTCCCCTCTTGCCCTGTCTCTCTTCATGTTTCTTTCTCTTTGCTTCTATTCAGAGCTCTGTTCATTCCTTTTAAAGGGACAGCACGACAGTAATGGTGCCCTGTTGATCCGCGGCTGTCCTTCACTGATGGCCTCGAACCAGCCCACATCGAGTGCTCTATCGTATTCAAAGCCTGACCCATCCTGGCTTGGGCAGATCCCTCCCCTCTTGCCCTGTCTCTCTTCATGTTTCTTTCTCTTTGCTTCTATTCAGAGCTCTGTTCATTCCTTTTAAAGGGACAGCACGACAGTAATGGTGCCCTGTTGATCCGCGGCTGGCGGTCATGGT